CCTGGCTAATTCCCACTCATCTTTCAGGTCTCTGATCTGATGTCACTAACTCAAGAACCTGCACTCTTCCCCTCCTTACCCCCGAGACTGATCCAGTGCTTTTTCTACAGGCTTCCAAAAAGCCCTCACTACTTCTATCAGAGCCTTCACATTAAACTGTAATCTCTGTTTAACTGTCTTTCCCGCTAGACTGTAAATCCAGGTAAGGAGGAACCTGTCTACTTGTTCCACATGATCTCCCAAGCATCTAATTCAGTGCCTGGCACATAGTAGGTGCTAGGAAATGTCCACTGAAATGAGTGAATCCAGCAATAGTTGAGTCTCCCATCCAGCAACAGGTCTTTCAGGAACCTGTCAGGACACAGACCCTTGGGTACTGACAGGATCTGTTCTCTCCTTCCAAACAGTACTTTCCTCTCCCCTCCCAGGACACAGGTCAAACTCTTTCCCTCTTCTAACTCCTCTGTTTCCTTGGCCCAATTGAAGGAATTGAAAGCTAATTCTGCCTGAAACCTCTTCCCTCCCTTCCCTTTCCAACTCTAAAGCTACACCTCCCCACTTCCTTACTGTAATCGTGCTGTCATTTCCCCAGCAAGCTAGTAACAGTGTCATTTACCAGTTTCCAGGATATGTAGGATATTTAAGAATAGGGTACTAAAAACATCCAAATATTCTACTTTTCAGTAAGAAAGGGGAGAAAATAGAAGCAGGGAAGGTAAACAACAGGAAATAGAACAGGGAATTCTAGTTTTTGAAGAGATGGATTAACAGCTTTTTACTGCAGATCACTTTGGCCCCAGGAGTAGAAAGCAAGTAACAGAGCTCCAGTTCTGCATTCCCCCAGCCTCTACACCAGCACCAGTAGTCAAGGAACCCTTTTACCCTGCAGCTTCTTCCCATATCTCTATCCTGCATCTACTTATACTACAATTTGCCTTGAAACATCAAGACTAATCTCATTATGATCTCTAACCCTACTTATATCACTCACTACAAGAAACCCAGGACTCTGGAGTCATTCCAAATCCTCCAACTCTCATCCCCATATGGCTAAGTACATCATCTTTCATGAACCAGCCCCCTCTCCCACTCGTCCCTCAATTCCTGAAATCCTTCCATCATATCCTCTGGAACTCATCAGCAAAATCCCCTATATCTTCAACCTCTTGTCTGAATGGTCCCTTCACCTTTTTGCTCTAATTGAAATCTAACGGCTGAGGCCACTGCTCTCTCTACAGTCCTATCTGTGGTTGTTTTCTCTCCCACACCCGTTACACTACTGGGCCTGGGGGTAGAAGAAGGAGGTACTCACCTTGTACCTTCCTTCTGCTTCCAGGTTATTCCCCTTTCTTCCTTCCCAAAAAAAGCCCCTGTCAGACCATACCTCCACCTCCCCACCCCTCTGCTACATTTATCTGGATAAGCTGGGTCACTTCTTCTCAAGCCTCAAAGCTTTTGGTTCCTACCTCACTGGTCTGTCATAATTCCAGGTGATTTCAAATGTTCACCTAGATGACTCTTGTGATACTCTGACCTCTCAGTTCCTTGACCTCCTCACATGCAATGATCTTGTCCTCTACCCTACTTTAGCCACTCACTCCCTTAGTCAATATCCTAGAATTCGTCAATATGATAACTACAGTCCTTCCATGATCTCCACTTCATCTGCATCCCACTCTCCAATCACCACTTCCCATCTTTTGCAGACTGCTCCTTCTAGCACCCCAACTCCAAGAACACTTTGACCTCAACAGAACTTACAAGCAATTGATCCCACCCCCTCTCCTGTCATTTCCTACCTCAGCTTAGAGCTCAAGGTCCATCATTACAATCACTCCCTTTCCTGCATCTCAGACTTTTGCACCCTCCCACACTTTATCATACTTGCCTGGCAGAACACCTACCCTTGCTAAATATAATTCCCTGTCAAACAACTAAACCCTTTAGGACATTCAAGAGACAAGAGACGTCATATCTGACTTTTGAACTCACAATAGCTTTCTTTTTCCTCTTCCAGGGATGGTATCTAGAGGCATTTAGAGTGGTCCGGCATTTGACATACCGTTGTAGACTATCCTACAATACAGCCTCTAACAAAACTAGGCTGCCCCAAACCCCTGGAAATAGAACTGTTTACCTTCAAACCAAAAAGGTTGGGAAAGCCCAAAATCCACATGTGGCGTGTACCCAGGCCAACTTCTAGGAGTTTGTGCTGTGAGACCTAAAGTTCTTATGAGGTTGTCTAAAATGAAAAAACATGTCAGCAGGGCCTACTGTGGTTCCATGTGTACTAAATGTGTCCATGGCAGGATCAAGCGTATTTTTCTTATTGAGGAGCAGAAAATCGTTCTGAAAGTGTTAAAGGCAGAAACACAGAGTCAGAAAACTAAATTTTTAAAATGAAGCTTTTTTGAGTTAATAATTAAAAAAATCAAAAGCCAAAAGAGAGTGAGACAATTGAAAATTGGAAAACTGATAGGATATTTGATATTAAGGAATTATAAATTTTTTTGGTGTGGTAATGGTATTTTTTTTGCAGGTGTCCGTATTTTTTAGAGATACAATATGAAATATTTATGCATAAAATATGATGTCTGGGACTGCTTCAAAATAATAAGAAAGGATGGAAGTGGGTAAGACAACAGATAAAACAAGATTGGGGGACTTCCCTGGCGGTCTTGTGGTTAAGACTTCCCCTTCTAATGCAGGGGGTGAGGGTTCGATCCCTGGTCAGGGAGCTAAGATCCCACATACCTCGCAGCTAAAAAACTAAAACGTAAAAAAAAAAACCGAAGCAGTACTGTAACAAATTCAATAAAGACTTTAAAAAATAAAAACAAAAAAGATTGGCCATGAGTTAATATGTGTTGAAGCTGTGTGATGAGTACATGAGGGCTCTATTTCTTTTGTGTATTTAAATTTTTCCCTAATAACATGGTAAAAAATACAACAGTCTCTCTACGCTACGCCTGCAACAAGCAACCAAACATGGCTTTGAAAAGAAAAAGATGAAAACAAACACACCTATACCAAACCGTCTCACTTAAAATTCACAATTGCTGACTTTAAATGGTCTCATAGCTCAGCATGACAATCCTACAACTTTTGCCTTATCCATTCGTTCTCCCACACCCCCCTATAGGTCCATTTCATGTCATTTCCTTCCTCCTCAAGCCATCAACACCTCTCCATCTTCACTCCCAGCTGCTGCCCTTCATTCCATTTTCTCAGTGAAACAGGAAGCAATCTCCACCACTACCACCACCGGTTCCCATTTGCCTTTTCTTCCCTCCTGTTATTTACTGTGAATGAACTGACTGCTCCTGTCTAAAGCCAATGCCTCCACTTGGATACCAGACCCCAAACCCTACTGCCCAGTCATTCCTCATTCTCACCCTGCATCAGCACTGTTTCCCTCTCTACTGGATCATCTCTATTGGCATTGTATTAACACATTCTTACTTCTCCCATTTTATTTTTAGTTTTTTCTTGAGGTACAATTGACAGATAACATTATATTAGTTTCAGGTGTATAATGATTGCTCCCATTTTAAAAAGACAACTCTTAACTCCAGTTTCCCCTCCAGCTATGTATCCATTTCTCTGCTCTCCAGGACAGCAAAACTCCTAGAAAAAGAAAGAACAGTGTCTGGCACATGGAACCATATTTCACTGATTCTAAGATGCCTTTTTTTTTTTCTTCATATCTTAACATCTCTGAAATCCAGACACAACTGATGACAACTGTTATTTGTTTCTTCTAAGTGCCTAAGACACTACCAACATCAAACAATCTCTAATTAAAAATCTCTGCTTGAGTTTTTGGTACAACATAGGTAGTATGAATTCAAACTGAAAACCAGTTCAAATTCCAAAGAAAGTTTTTACCCCTCCTACACAATGCCAGGGTTGAGACGTGTGAGCTGCCTTGCTGTCCCCTTCTGTGTGGTGGGCTTCTTCTCATTTACATTCTCATGTAGTTTCCCAGCTTTAAGCAGGGCCTCTTACAGATTACCCATCTTGGGCCTACTTCTCTTTTTTAGTAGTACATAAAATTATGGTGCATCTTACAACTGATGGTACCAAAATAGCAATATAAGCATATTATTTAGAGAAATGGAGATAAATACCAAAAAGTATTAACTAAAAAGAGCTCTAAAAGTGCCTCTGAAGGGAAATAAAGGGGAAAAGGTATTTTATGTTTTAACAAACTTTACAGAACTATTCGATTCCACAAGCTATGTATACATATAACTTTGATAAAAATGAACCCTAGGGCTTCCATGGTGGTGCAGTGGTTAAGAATCTGCCTGCCAACGCAGGGGACAAGGGTTCGAGCCCTGGTCCGGGAAGATGCCACATGCCGCGGAGCAACTAAGCCCGCGCCACAACTACTGAGCCTGAGCTCTAGAGCCCGCAAGCCACAACTACCGAGCCCATGTGCCACAACTACTGAAGAACAAGAGAAGCCACTGCAATGAGAAGCCCACGCACCACAACGAAGAGTAGCCCCCGCTCGCCGCAACTAGAGAAAGCCTGCACACAGCAACGAAGACCCAATGCAGCCAAAAATAAATATATTTAAAAGAAATAAAAGAAAAGAACCCTAAAAGGAAAAAAATTAAATGATCTTTGAGAAAAAGAGAGGAGAGAGGAAAATGTATGTGGACATGGGAATAATGCAGGAGTCAGAAGTCAGCAATCCCTTAAGTTTACCTGGCAAAGGGCCAAACAAGAAGGACAGAAACAAAGGGAAGAAAAATCTGCTACAGCTTTGCAAAGATGGGAGACAAAGCATGCTGAAACTGCCTAAGACAGAAAAAGTAGGGAATTTCCTGGCAGTCCAGTGGTTAGGACTCTGTGCCCCCACTGCAAGGGGCACAGGTTTGATCCCTGATCCCTGGTCAGGGAACTAAGATCCCACATGCCTTGCGGCCAAAAAAAAAAAAAAAAACTATAAAAAAAAAAGTCAAAATCATCAGGTTGGTTTTGTTGTTTTTTTAATAATAATAATAATGTTTTTTGTTTTTTAATAATAAATAAATAAAAATAATTAAATTGGCATAGTTAAGACCAAAAAGATAAAGTGGACATTGTCATTGTATCTTCAGCCCTTGCTTTAACAGGCAAATGAACACAGCTTGAAACACAGGTGACTCTTGCTGTTCTATGAGACAGTGAAGGGAGCTTCTCAATATTTAAATATATTAATATAATCAGTTATAGAAATCTAAATATAAAACCAATCTCCTATAGGGTTTGAGAAGGCTTCACCATATCCCTGAAAAGTTTAACATTCCTTATTCAAGTTTAATCATCTCTTTAGAAAGGGAAAGCAGTGATAGTACTTGTTGAACCGCAATTACTATCAAAATTCAAAAAGCTGACCATATTCGTTTAGCCACAAGCCAATGTTATTTAAATCAGGACAAAAATATTACATCAGCCATTCATGATCTGAATTCTAGTGTATGAGATCAATTTAAATATGGTACATATAAAAAGTCATGAGACATCTGTTTCATAATAAATAAGGCAGTGGCCAACGATTACGCATTAGCTTTTTTGAGATAAGCTATCAAGTCTGCCCTATCTCCCTTCTTCTTAATGCCAGCGAAGATCATTTTTGTTCCAGGGATGTACTTCTTGGGATTCTCCAAACACTCCATCAGCGCCTCCTCTCCCCCGGTGATGCCTTTGTTCTTGTTGGCATCAGTATAAGAGAATCCGATAGGCTGACCTGTCTTTCGCCCCAACAGACCATGGAGATTTGGCCCAGTCTTGTGCTTGCCTCCCTTTTCCACAGTATGGCACTGGGCACACTTCTGAACAAAAATCTTCTTGCCCTTCTCAACATCACCCATTTTTAAATCATTCCTTCTCCGTACACGACTAAGAGGTTCCCTCTCGCAAGCCGAACCTCCCGCTCTCTAAGCCCAAGGACACGCCGGTTCGCACCTATGTATGGGTGTTGGTGCCCATCAGGTTGTTTTAACTGAAATTATAAGGAATAGTACAGAAACAGACCTTCTCAACTGAGCTCCATATTACCTATGTACATCTCCACCTGGATATCCCACAGGAAACTCAAATGGAACATGTCCCTAGTAAAAGAACTGCTTAACTCAAATCAGTTTCTTAAAAAACAAGGGGTGGTAGGTTTTGTATATTTATACATAAAGGATTAAGTATGTGTGAGGGAGAAAAAAAAGAATATCCATAATCCAGCTAAATCTACCAAAAATCAATAAAATTATCCAGATTTCCCATGTTAAAAAAAAATTAACGCCTCAATTAAATTCATTCACTCCCAAACCTGCCCTTCTTCTTAGAGTGCCTACTCTAGGTGGTCTCCCAAATAAGAAACTCAGGGAGTGATGCTAGATTCTTCCCCTTCTTCCCCTACCTTAATCCAGTCATTATCTTAATCTAACATACAGCATTTCTAAATTTCCTTGAATTTGTCTTCTCTATTCCAACTACCTTATATCAGGGCTTGATCTCTTTCCTATATTACAGCAATAGGTTTATAATGTTCCAACTACCCTCCACATAATTGCTGAAGGGATCCTTCTAGATTGAATGTAAGCCTGCATATGGCACTCTCCTGCTTAAAATTCCCCAAGGAGTCTAAAATTTAAGCTTCTCAGCATTGCAAATAAAATTCTTTATTAAATGACCTTACTCTGGCCTCCATCCTTATTTAAAACTACTTTTCTCACTCATTCATTCAATTCATCAGTCACCAAATGTTTATTGAGCACCTATAATATCCCAGGTTCTGTAGGCACTGAGAAATACTCTAGTGAACAAAATAAAATGTCCTTCCCTCTTGAAGCTTACAGTCTAATGGAGGAAATTACTCAGTGAATATATTCATCCACTGAACAATCTTTTTTGTATATCTACCTGTATAAGCACTCTTGTCAGTGCTGGAAATACAGTGATGAGCAAGACAAAGTCCTTACCCTCAGACAGTTTATATCTGAGAGAAACTGTTATAAATGCCATTAAAATAAAGCTATGATGGGGCTTCCCTGGCGGCGCAGTGGTTGAGAGTCCGCCTGCCGATGCAGGGGACATGGGTTCGTGCCCCGGTCCGGGAAGATCCCACATGCCGTGGAGCGGCTGGGCCCGTGAGCCATGGCCGCTGAGCCTGCGCGTCTGGAGCCTGTCCTCCGCGGCGGGAGAGGCCACAACAGTGAGAGGCCCATGTACCAAATAAATAAATAAATAAATAAATAAATAAAAATAAATAAAGCTATGAGATACACAAGGACAGGAAAACCTGAACCAATCTGAGGGGTCAGGAAAGACTTCTGAAATCAACAGTGATATCTGAGATACGAACCAAAGATGAAGAGGCAATGGCAAGGAAAAGAGTGTGGTGGTGAAGAGTATTCCAGGCAGAGGGAACAGCCTTTGTACAAGGCCCTGACATGAGTGGGAGACCAGGGCATTAGGGAAAATAAAAAGCCAGAGGAACCAGAGAGTAGGAATGGTGCCCAAGGAAGGTGACAACACAGGCACTAAAATTTAAATCAAATAAACGATCACTGTGTCGGGAATGGATATTAGGCATCTAAGAGTGGAATCTGGGGGGCCCATTTAAAAGGCTATTACAGGGGACTTCGCTGGCAGCCCAGTGGTTAAGACATTGCGCTTCCAATGCAGGGGGCGCAGGTTCGATCCCTGGTTGGGGAACAAGTTTCCACATGTCGTGTGGCCCAGCCAAAAAAAACAAGGCTATTACAGTAGTCCAGAGCTGAAACCAAATGATACACAGGAATATCTAAACCAGACAGATGCCTTAATGCCTACGAACTGCAAAGGAATCTAGGCCATAGTCCCTGTGCCAAGCCAACAAGTTGAACTGGCTATAAATTCAAGAAACATAAAGGTCTACTCCATCCATGAAACAGGAAATAGAAACACTCAGCTCACTGAGAGAACAGCAAGCACTGCACCTGCGCCTAGAGATGGAAAAGGTTACCAGGAAGAAAATGGATCCCAGGCCTGCATCATTCACAGATGTGAAGTCTAAATTCACACTACACATATGGTACAAGGACCTCAATCTGACACTTCATCATAAATAAGGTTCAGAACTAAAGAATGAAATAGGACCACAACAGAGCAAATGAAAAACTGTACAGTAGAGATGATTCCACAATCTGAGACACACAGGACTTAAGTTCAGTTTTTTTGTTTTTTGTGTTTTTTTTGTTTTTTGGCTGCTCCATGTGGCCTGTGGGATCCTAGTTCCCCAACCAGGGATCAAACCTGGGCTCCCAGCAGTGAAAGCATGGAGCCCCAACCACTGGATCACCAGGGAATCCCCAAGTTCAGTGTTTAAAGAAAAAAAGAAAAAACAAACACAGAGAAACAAACCTCCCACAGGGAAATCAGCTGATACAGCCACCAGAGACTGCACCCCAAGAATAAGAAATAATATAACAACCTGAAAAAGACATTTTAAAAGAAGGTTTAAAAATAAGATAGGGTTCCCCCTAAGATCAGGAACAAGACAAGGATATCTATTCTTACTACTTCTCTTTACTACTGTACTAGAGGTTCCAACCAACACAATCAGGCAAGAAAAAGAATTAAAAGGCATCCAGACTGAAAAGAAATAAGTAAAACTGTCTTTACTCATAGACGACATAATTATTTGTATGAAAAAGTCTGATGAAATCTACAAAAAAACTATACTAGATTAAGTGAATTTAGGAAGGTTGCAGAATACAAAATCAGTACACAAAAATCAATTGTATTTCTATAACTAGGAATAAACAATCAGAAACTGAAACTAAAAACACAACAGTACAGGAAATTCCCTGGCGGTCCGGTGGTTAGGACTCCATGCTTTCACTGCTGTGGGCCTGGGTTTGATCCCTGGTTGGGGAACTAAGATCCCACAAGTTTTATGGTGCAGCCAAAAAACAAAAAGAAACAAAAAAACAAAACAAATAGTATAAAAAAAAATAGTATAAAAAAAATACCTGTAAGAATAAATCTGTCATTGCAGCACTATTTACAATAGCCAAGACATGGAAGCAACCATGTCCATCGACAGAGGAGTGGATAAAGAAGATATGGTACATATATACAATGGAATATTACTCAGCCATAAAAAAGAACAAAATAATGCCACTTGCAGCAACATGGATGAACCTAAAGATTGTCATACTGAGTGAAGTAAGTCAGACAAAGACAAATATCATAAGATATCGCTTATACTTAGAATCTAAAAAAATGGTACAAATGAACTTATTTACAAAATAGAGTCACAGATGTAGAAAACTTATGGTTACCTGGGGGGAAAGGGGGGGAGGATAAATTGGGAGATGGGGATTCACATATACACACTACTATATATAAAATAGATAACTAATAAGGACCTACTCTATAGCACAGGGAGCTATACTCAATCCTCTGCAATGACCTATATGAGAAAGAATCTAAAAAAGAGTGGATATATGTATATATATAACTGATTCACTTTGATGTACACCTGACACAACACTGTAAATCAACTATACTCCAACAAAAATTTTTTAAAAAGACTCAACAATTAAAAAAAGAATAAATCTGACAAAAGATGTGAAAGATCTGTACAGTGAAAACTACACAGCATTGTGGAGAGAAATTAAAGACCTATATAAATGGATATATATACAGACATATATTTGTTATTGGGCTGGAAGGCTTGATATTGTTAGAATGTCAATTCTCTCCAAGTTGATTGAATAGAGCTAAAGCAATTTCAACCAAGATCCCAGCAGACATTTTTGTAGAAACTGACAAACTAGTTCTAAAATCCATATGAATATGCAGAAGTACTAGAATGGCCAAAACAACTTTGAAAAAGAAGTTGGAGGGTGAACAATACCTGATTTCAAGATGTATTATAAAGTTATAGTAATCAAAGACCATGTGGTACTTGCACAAAGATCAGTGGAACAGAATAGAGGGTCCAGAAACATTCCCACACATATACAGACAATTGATTTTTGACAAAGATAAAACGCAATTCAGTCTTCCAACAAACGGTACTGAAAAATTAGATATCCATATGCAAAAAATGAACTTTCACCCATAGTTTGGTATTATATAAAAAAATTAATTCAAAATGGATTGCAGATCTAAATGTAAAACCTAAAACTATTAAGTTTTCTAGAAGAAATCAGAAGTGAAAAACTTTTTAACCTTGGGTTGGACAAAGATTTCTTAGACATGACACCAAAAGCACAAAACTTTTGTTCTTTGAAAAGACATTGTTATGAGAAAAGATAATGCACAGAGTGATAGAAAATGTTTGCAAATCATATATCTAATGAAGGACTTGTATCCAGAATAAAGAACTCTCAAAACAACAATTAGCAAATGAACAACTCAATTTTTTAAATGGGTTTATGATTTTAAAACACTTCACCAAAGACGCACATGAAAAGCAGTTCAGCTTCCTTAGTCATTAGGGAAATGCATATTAAAACAATCAGGTACCACTATGCAACTATTAGAAGGACTAAAGTTTTTAAAAATTAAAAAGACTGACCACATCAAGTACTGGCAAAAATGTGAAGCAACTGGAACTCTCACAGACTGATAGGGGTGTAAAAATGACAAAACCACTTTGCAAAGCACTTTGACAATTCCTTAAAAAACTAAAGGAGTTAAACTATTCGACCCAGCCATTCTACTAGGTATTTATCCAAGAGAAAATAAATGTCCATACAAAGACATGCACACAAATGTTCACCAGCAGTTTTTATTTGTAGTGGTTAAAAACTGCTAACAATCCAAAGTCCATCAGCTGGTTACTGAATGCATAAAAAAAAATTGTAATAGATACACACTATCCATAAACATGGGTTAACCTCAAAATCATTAAGCTGAGTGAAAGAAGCCAGACCCCCATACACAAAAAATTAGTATATGCAGTATGATTCCATTTATATAAAACAGAAAATGCAAACCAATCGAGTGACAGAAAGCAGATTAATGATTGCCTGGGGGAGGGGAGAGGGAAGTAGGGGAGAAAGGGCACGACAAAGGAAACAAGGAAACTTTTGGGAGGTAATGGACGGTTTCACAGGTATATGTCAAAACTTATCAAACTGTCCACTTTAAACACATGTAGTTTATTCTACGTCAATTACACCTCAATGAAGTTGTTTTATTAAAAAAAAACAAGGCAGGAAGAGCCACAGATTAGGAGAATAACTGCAATGCATACTGACACAGGATTAGTATCCACATGTATTACTAATACCTATAACTCAATTTAAAACAAAACCGAGACTTCCCTGGTGGTCTAGTGGTAAAGAATCCACCTTCCAATGCAGGGGACGTGGGTTCGATCCTTGGCCAGGGAACTAAACTCCCACATGCTGCAGGGCAACTAAGCCTGCGCGTCACAACTACTGATCTCGAGCGCCTCCACTACAGAGCCCAGGCGCCCTGGAGCCCTCGCACCACAACTAGAGAGAGAAAACCCACATGCCACAACTAGAGATCGAAGCCCAAGCGCCGCAATGAAGAGACAGCACGCCGTAACGAAAGAACCCGCATGCCTCAATGAAGACCCCATGTGCCACAACTAAGACCTGATACAGACAAAAAGTAAGGAAAATAAATAAGTAAAATAAATAGGTATTTAAAAAAACAAACAACTCAATAGGAAAATAAACCATAGAAATGAACAAATAATTTACAACAGAGAAAAAGTAAATGCCAATAAACAAATTAAAATATGCTCAAACTTACTAACAATGGAGAGAATGCAAATTAAAACATAAAATAGGGAAAGTGGTGGGGGTGGGGGTGGTGTGATGAATTGGGAGATTGGGATTGACGTATACACTAATATGTATAAAATGGATAACTAATAAGAACCTGCTGTATAAAAAAATAAAATTCAAAAATTCAAAATAAATAAATAAAATAGTCCCCTCATCCATTAAAAAACAAACCCATAAAATAGTACAACACACATAACATCAGCAAAAGTTGTAAAGATCCAGGACTTCCCTGGTGGTGCAGTGGTTAAGAATCCGCTTGCCAATGCAGGGGACACGGGTTCGAGGCCTCGTC